CACCAATTTTAATATTGCTACCACCAATAGTTGAGTGTCTATATAAAAAAAAATGGACTAGTGGACTGGTTCAAGTGGTTAAGAGTGCCTGCCTAGCAAGCATGAGGCCTGGAGTTCAAACCCTAGTACCACCAAAAAAATTTTTTATAAAAAGCAGGTTGCATTAAGTGCCCCACTTCCATGCTCTTTATCGTGAGTCACCTCGTGGCAGTAGACAGATTCTTACTGATACTCACTCTGAAAACTTCATTTCCTTTTATAGGGTTACTAGTAAAGATAGCATACATGAGACTCAGTACATGAAATCTGACGTCACATTCAATAATTGGTTTGGGTGGTCATTATTGTTGGTGCTGCAAGCCAATATTTTAATCCAAACAAAAATTTAGGGGACAAAGTATACTTGTACTTTCTCATTATATTTTCAAATCCACTGATGACCAGGTCAGTGCTCATCTTAATTTATAGCAGTATGAAATCACTAAGGCACAAAGGATGATAGAAAACTTTTTAAAAATGTTTCCTTAATGAAAGCATTGCTCAAGAACATGGACATTCTTCACCTGTAAACTCTTATAAGTATTTATTTTTATTCCTATAGGCCCTAATTCATATGTAGAACCATTAAAATGAGAATATTGACCTAAATAGATGACACTAGCAAGATATTAGAAACCTGCTTCTTTTCTTATCTGCCTGTTCGTAGTGTATTAGGAAGGTAGAGTAACCAAAAGCCTACAGAGTAGTGGATCCCAATGCCGGGCACCAGTGGCTCACATGTGTAATCCTAGGTACTCAGGATACCAAAATCAGGAGGATCGCAGTTTGAGGTCAGCCTGGGCAAAAAGTTCATGAGACCCTATTGCAAAAAAGGGCTGGTGGAGTAGCTTAAGTGTAGCACAACTGCCTCCGCCCTACCTTCCCCACCATAAAAAACTAATAATTCTTTTGAGGTATGAGTTACAGGATGACCTGTAAATGTTAGTGTGTGACTCCAACATTCTGAATTCTTTGATATGCATCACAAGCTTTTAAATCTCTTCAGGAAATTCTAATCAGCAGTTTGATTTGGCAACCACTTGGCTGAAGTCAAGATTGTGCTCTCATTTGCTTTGATACAAATCCTAAGATTCTGAACTAGATCTGTTAGGTGTACCCAAGTGAAGACCGCCCCAAGTCTTCACATTAAAGCTCATTACATACAGGGCATGAAGACTACCCTCTTCCTGGGTCTAACCTTGTCTCCCTCTCTGGCTTTAAAGTCTGCCTTTTTCTATTCATTCTCACTGCAGTTATCCTAGCAAAGGCCCTGGAGCCAAGCTGGGAGGATTAGTATACAAACCTTTTAAAGGTTTGACACCCCAGTGGTGGCTGGATCCAGAGCTGCAAATTTCAGATTTCTCTTCCTTTACCATCAATTTTAGTCAATTACTCCCAGGATGTCAATCCTCCCAACTGCTCTTTTGGTTCCTGAACTTGACCGTCTTATATCCAGTTCACAGTGAAGGGGAAAGTTACAATGATTTGCCATGAAATCTTAGTTCTGTATGTATTTATTTTGGGTCTTAGGAGCTACCTCTACAGGTCAAAGCCTTATGTGGCAAAATGCAGCACCTTTGTGAAATCTTAAATGATTGAAAGGTATATGTGGCAAGATGAGGCTTGCTCTATGCAGACTGCTGTTAGAAGAGAAAAGATTAAAGTTAATCTTTGGTAATGGAAATGAGTTTTCTATACAGGGAGCTGCCCAATCTGCCCTCAGTTGAAAGAGCAGCTGACATGAGTTTTGTCCTTTGCAGCCTCTTAGAGGAACATAGCCTGGGTACACATGGGTAAAAAGGAGAACCCAGAAAGACAGGCAGTTTATTCTCTGTTCTCCCATTACATTAATTTATGGATTGCACTTCATGAAAGATCCAGAAAGCTAAAAATGTTACAAACCACTCCATACTTGTTCTTAGATTTAAAATGAAACTGTACAATATAACTTTGCCAAAGGGGATCTCCACCTTGTCCCCTTGACAAAAGATTTTCCTCACAGTGCCAATAAGAGAATTAATGAACTGAAGGTTATGTGTTTAAAAATTCAAGAAAAGATTTTAAAGAAATCTGAGTTGATAAAAAAAAAAACATATGGAAAAGCATTTATATGATTCAATATTGGCGAGCTATATTATAGACCTGGCAATAACGATTGCTTCTAAGCTAACTCGCTTTCTAGTAACAGTTTTCTTACTCCTTTTTTGCACAGTTCTTGCTTTCTAAGGCAGTAACTGACCAAGTATCATCATTCCTTTGGGGAAAGCTGCATTCAAATTTGATATTAGTCAATGATTCATTAAATCTCTCATATACTGCACAACTCTCTTTGATAAAGTATTGATTCAATTCTAGGTACAATAAAAGCAATACAGGTAAAATAAGCAGGTCTGTATGGAGGAGAGGTACCAGTGGAAGCAGAGACCGGTAAATGGAGAGGTTGAAGGAAAGGGAAGGAAAAATATGTGTACTTGTATATGCGTATAAAATAGAACAATGAAACCCGAAGAAACTGTTTTAAGGGGAGAAGGGGGCATAGGGGAGAACGTTGGAGGGGGTGGATCTAATTAAGATACACTGTAAGCACATACATAAATGTCACAATGAAAACCCCCTGTACAACTAATATATGCTAATAAAAAAAAAAACCAAGGTAATATGCACGTCTACAATACATTTTTCCATTTATCTGACTCTGGTGATATTTAAGTAAATGAGAATAGGAAGATAATATTCTAGTTACAAAGCTTTAATTTGGAATTATTTGTTCCACAAACGAAAAGGCAGGCACAATAAATTATACATACATTAGTTACTTTATAGTGCTAAACTTTCACTGAAAATGTAAAAGAGCAGCCAACCTACTAGGAAAACCTTTGGGGAATGATGGATATTCAAAACAGTATCTCAGTTGAATATATAATCTTATTAACCCCCTAGAAAAGTGTAGTAAAAGCTAATTTTACAAACGAGTCAACTTGCACACATTGGAAAATAAAGCGTTTAAAATTTAAGATTCTTTTCAAACTTAAAAATTCTTCTGTAAAATGTAAAATATTACCTACAAATAGGTTGATGAGCAAAGATTTGTTCTAGCCCGTTCTATAAAAGTACATATTTAAATTTAAAACCCGTACCCTAAATTTGAAGGGGACCATTAAAAACTGTACTCCTAAAATGCCCTTATTAAGAATATCATAATCCGGTTTAACACTCCCATAATTACAATATTACACGCCTTCACTGCAGTGAGAGGTCATAGGCTAACCCACAAAATCTACAATGGGCAGTGAAGTCTCCTCAGCTGAGTCTATCCGCTAACTTCCTTCTCTGTTCCCCGGAGCTGAACCTGTATATATACTCAGGCCTCCAGTTGGGGAAGCCCTTGGTGGCCAATCAGAGCGTCTGGACCTATTGCGTCACATCTTCCCTCACCGTGTGACGTAAAGGCAATCCCAGCCCAGCCACGTGGGCTGGAGTGTAGCATTTCTGCATGGCTGCAGGAGAGACAGTTTGGCAGCCTTGGTCCTGAAGGGTGGGGACCTGGGCGACAGGGAGGGGCGGACAGGGCTTCTGCAGATCCCCTGTGGGCACAAGGCTTGTAGCAGCTGCCTCCCCTCCATTACCCAGGAGTCCAAGTACTTAGCGCGGGCATTGGGGGAACGTAAGGAGAGGCGCTGGAGAACCTGGCACCTAAGACTGTGTAACAGGACCCGGGTCTTGTACACCCTCCTCCTCAGGCACCGCCTCTCTGCTCCCAGCCCCTCTTTCTCCAGCCTTAACGATCCTTTCAGCGCTGTTTCCCCTTGGCTGAGTCTCCTTGGCCAGAGGAAACAGCTCTCTCCCCTCCCGGTTCTCACCCTTACACAGACCCTCCTTTCAGACCCGCCCTCTTGGTCACAGGGACCCATTTCGGAGCCCTGGCTCACGCTGGGCGGGAACCAACGTGACGGATTCAGTCCAAGGTGTTGATTATCCATCCCAGCTCAGCCTTTGGCTTCACTCCAACCGCCACCCCGGCTCCCGCGGGCCCCGAGTCCCCACCTTGGGCCGGGGACTCGGGACGTAGTCCCCGAACCCCCCAGTCTGCAGGGTCCCCAGCTGCATCTGAGGAACCCAGCACCAGCATGCTGGGTGCCACGTCGGAATTGGCTCCCGAAACGCTGCAGCTGCCGGAGCGCAGCTCGCGGTCCCCACGCACGCCTGGCCCCGCGCAGAGAGGGATGCGCGCCCTCCTCCCGCTCCCAGCCTCCAGTGCCACCGGCGGCGTCAGGGACCCCCGGCCCGAGTAAGGCTTCCGGAGCGGAGCTGAGCCCGGACAGACCCTGCCAGACACTTTAATAGGGTTTGGGAAGTGCTAAGGAGGGGAGGCCAGGGAAAAGGGGGGAGTGGCTGTAGGAGGCCGGTAGCGGCTAGGAGGTGGCGAGGACCCTCCTTCTTCAGGGTCCCAGCTCTACGGAGCTGGAACCCCGGATCGCTTTAACCCTTTCACTCCAAGCAAGAAGCAAGCTTCCAGGGGCTTTGCCAGGGTTTTTTTCTCCACACAGTGTGTGGGAGAAAAGAAAGGTTAGGTTTGGGATGGGAAGGGGACAGGGGACGGCTGCGCGGAATGCATTTTCCTCCCACAGTGGAAATGCTTGTTTCCCAACTCAGGGGCCCCTCTGACGCTCGGGAAGATGCAGAATGGAAAAGTACATCTCGGGACCAGCAACTTTCCCCAGCCAGAGCGGTTACCTGTGTACCCAGAAAGACAGCGGATTTCTGGCGAGAGCCACAGGGATACGCTACTAAGCTTAATAGTGGTGGGAGGTAGTTCCTGATTTTCAGTCTGGTGGAAATTTTCAAACCTCACTCTTCTATAGGAACTGACAAATTTTAAAACATTCATGTGGACAATTTCTTCTCTCCCTAGCCTATTTGAGGACCTTGATAGATTACCCAAACGCGCTTGTACCACGTACCTTGTTCAACTCTTGGTCATAAGTCGTCCTCAGCCTGTCTGTGTGGTCCCGGAGGGTCGGTGGAAGGCAGTTTGCAAAATTGAGGTAATAAGAGATCAGATGAATTTGAGACGACCGGCCAAAAAAAACAAGAAATTTAAAAACAACATTTAAAAAGGATGGGGGAGTCTTAAATGTTTGATTCTTCCCCACTTAAAGAAAATTTGGCTAATATTATCTTTATTATTTCCGTTGCACTTCAGTCTTGTGATTCTTTTTTAAAAAATTATCTGTGCTTTAAAAATAAATTAGTTTTTTTTTTTTGCTCCAGTCCCCCTCCCCCTAATAACGGAAAGTTTCTTTCTCGTATCAACAAACAAACAAACAAAAATCCCGGTGAAGACTCAGCAGAAGCCGGGAAGAGCAGAATGGAGAGAAAAGTCTTTGGCTAGGGCTGGTTCAAGTCCCTGGTTCAATGGGCTGCTTGAAGCCAGGACTGGGTAATTCTTTCCAGACGTCTTGACTTCTCCTTCCTCGCTGTTGTTGCCTTACTGCCTCCTCCAACTTAAGGGGGTCTTAACAAGTGAGCTGGTGGGTGTTTTAATAGGGCGGAGGAGGGAGTGGGGGTGAGGGGAGTGGAGGCGGGAGGTGTGGACTGGGGAACCCGGAGGGGAGGGAGCGGGGAGGGCGGGCGGGAGGGAGGCGGGGAGGAGGAGAGGGAAAGAGAGAAATTGGCCATTCAAAGCCCTCTGTGAGCTCGAGGCCGGCTCTAAACTCCAATGAATTCAATTAACTTGATTGTTAACGTGTGCCGAGAAATGCCGTGCACACAGGCTGGTTACCACCTGATTTCTTCTCCTCCAGCAGTGGAGCGGGAGACTGCTTTGTAGATATTCCTGAAATCCCATCTCAGTTATAAGGATTCCCTCTCGGCGATAAAACTCCCTGTTGCGTTTAAGTAATTTGTTTTAAAGCCAAATGGTGCCCTTCGGCGAAGTAACTGGGAGGGAGGGTGTGTGCGCGCCCGCGAACGCACGTACCTGCAGCCTCCCCTAAGCCGCCCAGGACTCCAGAAAGAGGGCGACCGCGCTGCCACTTTTTAACCCTTTCTCTCCTCCCACCCAGAAGTTTCCAAGCAGATGTCAGGTGTCAAAGCCTCCCTTGTGCAGAAGTTTTCACCGTGGGTGGGCGGAAAAAAGAGAAATACATATATATATATTGTTTAACACGATCCCCAAATATAAAAATACGCAAACATCGTGCATTAAAAATAAAAATATAAGAAAAAGCTGCAGAACTCATAGCGCCCTTATAAAGATATAGCCATCTTTTTAAAAATGAATCGCGTGGCTTTGGTTTCTTGGGAGCGTTCGTCTAACAAGGCGAATACTTAAGTCTGGCTTCGAAATGGCCTTTTTTCATATTTCTTCTAAAGCCCCCTAAACTGAGTAGAGTTCTTCCTGGGTTCCTTTGCCCCCTCTTTCTCCCGGTCCTTGCCAAGAAACACTTTCTAATGACTTAAAACTAACAGTAGGTGGCGCTGTTTAGGAAAAAATAAGTGAGTTTTCAAATTTGCTTGGTCTTTGGAGAGTCTGCTGACATTGTAATAGGGTAAAACATTAGTTTCCTTTTTCTTCCTATCTTTTTTTTTCTTTTTTCTTTCTTTCGCTTCCAAGATTCCTCTGAGGTGTGGACTTCTTTCGAATTCGACAAGGTCTTGATAACTTGGTTATGGTCTATGATTATGGCTAAATACAAATTTGGTTAATAATGAACAAGTCAGACAAATAGAAAAGTAGAATAAACTGGGAATGATGCTTTCAGCGCTGTTGGGCAGGATGCGGTTTTGGGGGTGTGATTCGGAGTCAAGAATTTTACTAAAATACCAGGTAGTTAGCCAACTACCTTAGGACTGGACCTGCAAAGTACTGAGTATTTTGTGGCCTACCCTCCCAACCCCCTATCCCGCAGGGTTTCACCTCTGGGAAGCATTACCTTGGCCAGATGACTTCACACTGCTCTGGGGAGACCCACTTACTCATTTCCCCAACAAACCTTGGCTTCAGCCTTTGTTTGAACTCTGCCCTGAGGTGGTTCAACTGTGAAGAGACTGGCTTAAATTTCAGAGTACAATTTCATCTTCCTTAATCAGACTGGTGCTTCCTGACTTTTCAGGGTTTGGGCAGCTTTCAAATGGTAAATTATGATTTAAAATATATTGTCTAGGGCTGGCAGAATGGCTCAAATGGTAGAGCCGCCTGCCTAGCAAGCGTGAGGCCCTGAGTTCAAACCCCGGTACCACTAAAAAATATGTATCTTTATATAGGTAGATAATCTAACTTCTATACTGTGACACAGAATGCACAAGAAACTGATTTAGAGGTAGGGTAAAAATTGTGGGGTGTCATGTGCCCAGGGGACACTTAACTGTGAATATTATGCATAATGTAGAGTGCTAACTATCGTTAGCAGCATTAAACTGTTTCTATGCAAACAGTTCAAGCAATGAGAACAATAAGTAAAACTGAGTTTCTTGCCTGGAGTCCGTGGCTCATAGCTACACCTGTAATCCTAAACAGAGAACAGAAGGATTTCGGTTTAAAGCCAGCCAGGTCTCTCGGTTGGAGAGACTGAGACCGTATCTTGAAAAACCCATCACACACAAAAAAAGTACTGGTGGAGTGGCACAAGATGTAGGCCCTGAGTTCAAACTCTAGTACTGAAGGAAAAAAAAACTTAAATTCAAATCCCATCTTTAATGTTTATTGTTTATGGGATCCCTGGAAGCATATTTGAACTCTCTAAGCCTTCATTTTCTAGTTGGTAAGTTTAGGAAACAAAATACTCAGGAAAGTAGCATTGTTTTCTATTTTTTGCACCTTTTTACTGTACAGCTTTATAAAAGATAGCTGTATTCTTGTATCTGCTTCTCATTCAAATGTTTTGATTGAAGTACATAAAAAGATGCTGGCCTTTTTAATAGTCTTTTTAGATATTCTTCCTTGATAGAACATCAAAACGTGGTAAGTTGTAGTGTTGAATCTAAAACAATATGGCCAAATAAATAAATAATAAATAAATAAAACAAGATGGCCAGGAGCCAGCAGCTCAAGCCTGTAATCCTAGCTACTTGGGAGGATAAGATCAGGAGGATCTTGGTTTGAGGTCAGTCCCAAGAAATAGTTCAGGAGACCCGATCTTGAAAATACCCAACACAAAAAGGGCTGACAGAATGACTCAAGTGGTAAAGAACCTGCCCAGCAAACATGAGGCCCAGTGTTCAAAGAAAAAAAATGGTCATTGAGAGAAAAATACTTAACAGATCAAAATAGCCCACCAAGGTCATGGAATGTCACAAGATGTTTTTGAGCCTCCCACCTACCTAAGGTAGGTCAACATGAGTTCCTGAATCAATAGATCTTTAACTTAACAAAACAAAGACCCTGGCCTGTAAACCATACCCCAGGGGATTCCCTGGAAGCCCATCCAATAATAATTTGTATGTTGTAAATCTGTAGGCCTACTCTAGTCTAGTGACCTTCACTTTGACTTCAGCCTTGTGGGCTGGTCCTGGGGTGGGGGGCACTTAACAAAACCCCTTTTCACTTCAGTAAAAACCTGTGCTTTGGACTGGAGGCATGGCTCAAGTGGTAGAGTGCCTGCTTTCCATGTAAGAAGTCCTGACTCCAGTCCCTCCCCTCCAAGAAAATTAAAGACCAGGAAAAATTTAAAGTTTAGTCAGGGGCTGGGGACATGGCTCACGTGGTAGAGCACCTGACTTATAAGTGCAAACCCCTAAGTTTAAACCCCAGCAACACCAAAAAAAAATTTTAAGCTTAGTCAGGCAGGAGCCCGTGGCTCATTCCTGTAATCCTAGCTACTCAGGAGACAGATCAGCACCAGGTAAATAGTTCTGAGACCCTATTTCAAAAAAAAAAAAAAATCATAGCTGGGCGCCAGTGGCTCATTCCTGTAATCCTAGTTACCCAGGAAGCAGAGATCAGGAGGATCTCAGTTAGAAGCCAGCTGGGGCAAAATAGTTCAGGGAGACCCCATCTCCAAGCAGTAAGGGTGCTTGCCTAGCATGAGGCCCTGGGTTCAAATCCCACTGCTGCCCAAAAAAAAAAACTTGTGCTAAGGTAAAAATAATTGTTTAATTGTTCTCATTCTCACTCTTCTAAAGACCCTCTTTCAATCTATTGAAAGTATTGAAAGTGTCTTCCCTTCCTAATAAACTTTACTATCACTTTCACTCCCCCCTCACCCCCTTGCTTACATTCTTCTCTCACAGGTACATAGCTGTGCTGGCTTTCTGGAACACATTTCATTTTCGGTATTTTTTTTTAAAAAATCACAATCATTAATATCGCCACCAATCTCATTCAATAAGTCTTTAAATATTAGAAGTTATCACATCCATCATAGCAAACACAGTTATTCCAATATTCCAGTTTTCTCTTGAAAGCTCAGTAGTTTCATTAGCAACAAATAATCTGAGTTGTTTTCAAGTTATGACAGGTTCAGTTCCTTCAATAGAAAACAACAAAAAAAGAAAGTCTTCCAAATACCCAAGTCTGAATAACATTAATTTGTTAGTTGTTCAAGCAACAAGTGATCAAGTAACAGTGATGCTCCAGGAAAAAAGTGGCCAAATCAACCCATGACTCATGAAAGCTTTTCCTCTGGAAAAAACATGGTAGCTTACTAAGTGTGTATCGGAAGTGTCTCTGTGTACACAGACTTTCCACTTAAGGACTGAAATTTAATTAAGTTAGTAACTGGCACTGTTTCATCTAGGATGTTCTTAAATGGAATTGGATTTTGATTTTTATTTTACTGTGAGCGAAATATGCTTACTTGATCAAACTCAGAATGGACTCAGAGATATCAAGGGCAGTGAGAGTGAGACTTTAACAACATTCCTGCAGGATTGGATATCTGCTAAGCAGGACACCCAAAGCATTACAACAGGCATTTTATCCCTAGTGCGCAGATCCCTCCCCTGGTTCCTCATTGGCTGAGTACCGCTGGGGTGTACAATCTTCCAGAAGTTGCCTAAGTTTTATTATTTCCCTTTGGGTTATTTTAAAATATGCCTCTCTTGGGATTGCTCAAATTTTAGACTCAGACTTAAGTCTCCAACTCCCTTTGTCTCTTTGTGGGGGAAGGCCTCCTTGTGATATGCGCTTTCTGGCAAGTAATAGTTTTTACCCATTTCCTGATTTCATGGTAGTTTACCCACCCCCCAGTTTAAGTTCCCTTATCAGTTGGCCCCTCCCCAAAGTCTTGTTTGTGACTTCCTGGGTGCATGGACTTTGTTACGTCCCCAAGCTGCTATGTAAGCAAGTTATCAGTAATTTTCTATTCAGGGTTAACTGCTTTGCCTTGAAGACAACCATCATTGACTTTATCTCCAACACCTGGAAGTGTTTGGGGGCCACTGGGTCCTGCTAAGGCACTAATGATTTACCCACCACTGTCCATACCATATCAACAACGTGAAAGATGGAAATAATGACTAAGCATTATTGCAAAAATAGTTTTGATCCTATGAAAGGTTCTTGGGTTTCCCCACAGATCTATATATTTTACTTTATAAATACTGGTTTGTATGTACTAAATGTAGAGGTGTATAATTCTGGATTTTTTAATTATTATTTCAAGAGGAATTTTGTCAAATGGCTGCACATAGAGAAGAGATCTAACTGTAGGAACAGGATTATCAGTAGCAATCTTGTCATATGAGACATGACTGTAGGAAACAGTCATGCATTTTATGACAAGAAGATTCAGAAAACATGACAGACATTGGGTAACTTTTATGTCTTGGATATGTACATGAGATTTAACACATATTCTATGACCCTAATACTGTATACCAGTGGGAATAAAAACACATCCTCTTTCAACTCCAAGGATGGTAAATGTCTTACGATTTTCATCTCAATAAAGAAGGGAAAGAATTGACCTGGAATTAAGTAATTTAGTTTTCTAGTCCCAGTTTAGATGATACAAAGGGATTTCCAGTATCACATATAAAACTAAACTACTTCTTGTGTTAATCCAAAGGCTGAACTCCCATTGCTCTACAAACTAATTCAGAAAATATTTTGAAGAGGGTATGTTAGTGGTGGTCTCCAGATTTGACAATATGAACCATGAGACAGGGTTACAATTTACCCATCTTTGATCATTTCAAATTAGATTCTGAGTATTATTTAAGATACTTTTTAAGATTACCAAAGTGCAAGGGAACAAAAATAAAAAATCACTGGAAACCCTTTATAAACTTCTCTCAATAGCCCTTTCTACAGATGAAGAAGCTAGCTTCACAATAGTCTATGACTTAGGTTGAGCCCTAAAAAGGTAGATATTGAAGAGTATGGGAAGTCAGTGATTATGGCTGATTGACAGCAGACTTCCCAGGATTTCACCCTGTAGCCCAGGCTAGCCCTGCACTCTTCATCCTCCTGTCTCAGCCTCCTTCCTTGTGCTGAGATTACAAGGGTATACTACCAGTCACCAAGTCTGCCCTGTATTTCACTTTATTTATTTATGATTAGTTTTGTTTTGTTTGCAATACTGGAGTTTGAACTCAAGGCTTTGTGGTTGCTAGGCAGGAACTTGACTGCTTGACTAGCCATTTATTTTAAAAGAAAAAGAAACTGTATTTTAGAACTTTGCCTTAAATTAGTTACATGGGAACTTCACTTTTATAGTATTCACTATTTAAAGTTGAAGAATTATCTCCAAATTCATGTGTATTTCGGAAGTCATTCTACATAACCTAATGATATCTTTTTCTTTCTTTCTTTCTTTATTATTATTTTTTTAATTCATATGTGCATACAATGTCTGGGTCATTTCTCCCCCCTCCCCCACCCCCTCACTTACCTCCCACCCCCACCCCTCAATGCCCGGCAGAAACTATTTTACCCTTATCTCTAATTTTGTTGAAGAGAGAGTATAAGCAATAATAGGAAGGAACAAGGGTTTTTGCTAGTTGAGATAAGGATAGCTATACAGGGAGTTGACTCGCACTGATTTCCTGTGCATGTGTGTTACCTTCTAAGTTAACTCTTTTTGATCTAACCTTTTCTCTAGTTCCTGGTCCTCTTCTCCTATTGGCCTCAGATGCTTTAAAGTATCTGCTTTAGTTTCTCTGCGTTGAGGGCAACAAATGCTATCTGGTTTTTTAGGTGTCTTACCTATCCTCACCCCTCCCTTGTGTGCTCTCGCTTTTATCATGTGCTCATAGTCCAGTCCCCTTGTTGTGTTTGCCCTTGATCTAATGTCCACATATGAGGGAGAACATACGATTTTTGGTCTTTTGAGCCAGGCTAACCTCACTCAGAATGATGTTCTCCAATTCCATCCATTTACCAGCAAATGATAACATTTCGTTCTTCTTCATGGCTGCATAAAATTCCATTGTGTATAGATACCACATTTTCTTAATCCATTTGTCAGTGCTGGGGCATCTTGGCTGTTTCCATAACTTGGCTATTGTGAATAGTGCCGCAATAAACATGGGTGTGCAGGTGCCTCTGGAGTAACCTGTGTCACAGTCTTTTGGGTATATCCCCAAGAGTGGTATTGCTGGATCAAATGGTAGATCAATGTTTAGCTTTTTAAATAGCCTCCAAATTTTTTTCCAGAGTGGTTCCATTAAACATTTTCAGACCTAGATTACAGAAAAGAACAAAACTATCCTTGATTTAAATGCCAACAATTTGAAACTATTGCAGGAATGGGTGGGAAGGGGAAAAAGGAGAATGATGGAGGAGGTGAATTCAATTATGATATAGTGTAAGAACTTTTGTAAATGTACCCCCAGTACAACAATAATTAATTATCCTTTTTTTTTTCTTTTTTGTAGTGCTGTGGATCAAACCAAAGGCTTTACATATGCTGGGCAGGCGCTCTTCCATTGAGCTATACCCCAGCCAGTACAACAATAATTTAAAAAAAAAGAGGGCTGGAGGATTGTCTCAAGTGGTAGAGTGCCTGCCTAGCAAGCACAAGGCCCTGAGTTAAACTCCAGTACTGCCAAAAATAAAAAATTTTAAAAAGAGGGGGAAAAATGCCAACAACTTCTGTCAACAAGGGTTTGTACTTTTCATGACAAGTGAACAAAAGCAGAAAGTGCTATTCCAGGGGTAGTGACTCTGAAATATAATGGTCTTAATTGTTATGACTGAAGGGAAGATTTTTGAAAAGTATATATTTGTCTACAAGCAGTTAAGAATAGTTTTTTTTTTTTAGTTCACATCTTTTATTAATCCATCCACAATTACTTGTCTTCTGGTTTATTGAAGCAGTAAGTCACACAACACTTGCCACAGTAATGTCTGTCAAAGTGGCTAGCCATAAAAACTTCAGCACCACATTCATCTGAAGGACACTCATGACAAAGGCGACTAATCATTTGCCATTTTCATTGACCTTATAGTATTTCAGGACGGCCAACTTAACCTTCTTTCTCTTATGCTTATTCCTCTTGGGAGTGGTGTAAGACTTCTTCCTTTTCTTAGCACCACCACAAAGTCTTATCACAAGATGAAGGGTGGACTCCTTTGGGATGTTGTAGTCTGACAAAGTACATCCATCTTCCAGTTGCTTACCAGCAAAGATCAGTCTTTGCTGATCAGGAGGAATTCCTTCCTTATCTTGGATCTTGGCCTTGACGGGTTTTTTTACAGTACGCAAGGGTTCAACCTCTAGCGTGATCGTCTTCCCCATAGAGGTTTTTACAAAAATTTGTATCTTGGCTGTGGTTCCACCACAGATGGCAGACCGGAAAGCAAGGATAGTCTTTACTGTGGAAACTGATTAAGTATCTACGATATAGAAATAATCTTCCTTGATATAGCTAATATTTGAGTACTGTTCATTTCAGTGGGAGGGTGGATCTTGAATGTTCTCATCATGGATGTCAAATGTTTAAGGTGATGGAGGAGTTAGTTGGTTGGCTTGATTTGATCATTCCACACTGTATTTAAAAGTTATAACACTTCTTACCACGTAAATATTTGCAGTCATAATTTGTCAAGAAAAATAGTAAATAAAAATAACCTTCCTTAGAAATTATTTGACATTTCATCTTATTTATGTTTTAAAAACATGCTTAATTTATGGAAATGGATTTTTTTCTTATTACAAGGTCTAGTTGTTGAACTTTCCTTTTTTTGATAATCTGGAGAAATGTGACTGTGCTTCCAAGATTATTAATCTGCACTCATGCATACTAGTGTACTCCATGCAATTCATGACTTCATTTACTGGTTTTCTCTGAACCTGGTCATGGACAAATTAAAAATTCCCTATCCAGCTTTGATGATCTATCATGTTTCAGATGACTTGAAGGTGGCACCCCTGATGCCTCCTTGCTTTTGTGCATGCCCTTGCACAATCGCTTCTTGGAAGCAGATAGCACCTGTGACTGCTTCTACCAATAGGACACCATGAAGATGGCATACCTGTGTGATGGCATTGTTGCATTACTTAAGATTGCAGCACCTCCTTGCCCACATCTTTTTCTCTCTGGCTGGATTCTGGAGTTGGCGATCTCCACAACAGCTTCCAGGGGTTGAAAGGCCCTTATTGCTACAAGCACAGGGAAATGGATTTTACCAACAGCTTGAGTGACTCTTCAAGTAGATCCTCCCCAGGTGAGTATTCAGATGAGACCCCAACCAGTTGCCTTTGACTGCAGGCAATCTTACAGAGAACCCAGCAATGCTATAGCAGACTTCTAGACCACAGAAATGGTGAGATAAGTATGTACTTATTCAAGCCATTAAGTTGTTGTAACATTGTTACACATTAATAGATATCTGGTACAGACCATTAAATCTCAAGCTGTTAAGTAAAAAAAAAAAGAAAAATCCTATCCAGGAGAAAATATTATAGTTTTTTAAAAGACCATTAAATCTTAAATTTTCTTAATGATTTAGAAACTACAACATATACATAAAGTTTAAAAAGAAGGTAGAAGGGGGAAAAACTAAGTAAACCTTTATTTTATCTAATGATGTACACTCATTTTATTTCAATGCATCAACTTGGAAGAAAAGGAATGTCAAATTAAAGGGATCTTGGCCATTGTGGAGAAAGCTGGGAATGTAAGATTTTTCAAGAGTTCATTACCTCTCCCTTGCACCAGGTACTGACACACCTGATTTTATTTGCTATCTTTAGAGGAACAGGAAAATCCAAATTCAAGTTTTCAGGTTAGAAGACCTACCTTTAAACGCTGGTGCCGGAAATTCTTAGAAGGAAAAGCTTGGACCAATTCTGTGAAGTGAGACTTCCTACTTGTCTTCAAGAGAGGTGTTAGGTCCAAGACCCAATTAATACAATTACCATTCCCATGGCACCTGAGAACCAGCATTGCCAGCCATCTGTCCTACAAATACCATTAAGAAGTGTGACTCCACACATTAGTCACTTCCTGATTACTCTGTTAACCTAGTTGAAAGTACTTGAGGATGAAAGCTTTTCAAAGGAATTACACTTCCCTGAATTACAGAAGTGATCTCTCCTATAAAATTTTCTATTTATTATTTTAAAATTTCAACCTTCAACCCAGAACAGTATGGATCTGAGGACTTAGCGTGGTCATATTATGCTGAAGCAAAAAACTGGGACCTTTTTGAATTTTGTTTCTGACTCATCTCTTGGAAACAGAGCCTGCTGTTTGTTCACAACAAATCTGTCAGGCTTCTAATTAGGCAATTTAGGAAATAGCTTCATTGTTTGTTTTGAAAAGCCAGGTGGTTTCTAGAATCAAAGGTGAAAAAGAAATGTAAAACTGTGTTTTTCAAAGTGGTCAGAGGGTGGCCTCCAGAGCAATCACTTGGCTGCTTTTAAAAATACAGATTCTGTGTTGGAGCCCCAGGTCCAATTCACAATTTATAGTGTGGGTTCTGGGAATAAGCCTATTTGGAAAGTTTCCCGAGGTGGTTGGTTCTTAGGCACTTTGAAATTTGGCAACTTAGGTTTTAGTGATGCTGTAGATGAAAAAATAGGTTTCCTGTTTTGTTTTTTTTTTTAAACACATGGCCCTTTATAATTACAGTTTTTGTCCTCAGCACTATTTGAACATTTTTTTTCTCAAAATGCCATTGTAAATTCCAAAAAATTTCTGTTTAGTGACCTTATGCTTGTCTCCAGGTGAGTTAATACCAAGTATAAACATGGGAGCTATAGGCCAGAACTACTGTTTTTGGCACCCCTGCACTTAACTGTCTCTGTGGTCTTGAGAAAAGTACTTAATCTAAGCCTCTGTTTCTGTATGTAAAATTGATCTGAAAGTAAAAGCGTACCTTAGAAGTTCATTGTGGAGAATAAGTAATCCTATGAAGGTTCTGATAAGTATGAAAAAAATGGTAGCCATAATTATTGATGTTGTTGAACACACTGGGAGGTTGAAAAATGACAAGTTCCCTTGTCCTTAAGAACTTGAATTTGCTCCTCAGCTGCAATGGAGATGTTTAATTTCTGTTCTGGTAGGCTTCCTGCCACTGTATATTTTTAGATTATGCTCAGAATTAAAAAACATTCAAAGCTGGTGAAGTCTTCTTGAAGACTGCAGATTTGATTCTCAACTCCTAAAGCAAATCTTTTTAAAGTACTAATTGACTTCCAGCAGTAAGTGTATATAGTACAGCAGAAATTTGCTACATTAATATTTGCCAAATCTCCCTAATTTATAGGAAGCTCCGTGTTTAAAAAGCCTTAAAAGCCAAGTTAAAATTCTCCTCTGAAAGAGTTTGCTATTTTGAAAGCCCCCTCCTAAATTCATGCTGAAATTGGATTGTCATTGTAACAGCATTGAGAGATGGGACCTTTGAGAGGTGATTAGGTCAGAAGGTGTCTGCTCTCAGGAATGGATTAATGTCATTATTTCCAGAGCAGATTAGCTATCTTTGGAGTGGGTTCCCGATAAAAAGGATGGATTTTCTGTCTGTTTCTTGTGTGCTTGCTTGCCCTTCCACCATGCGATAACAAAGCAAGATAATGCTTACCCTTGACAAATGAAGGCATACCATGTCACAGCTTCCCTGCCTCCAAAACCATGAACCCAATAAACTTCTATTGCTTATACCTGGTCCTACTGCAAAGCCAAGTTATTTTGGGCAAGCAATTTGATCCAAATTCAAGATTCTTCGTGTGCAAAATGGGTGTGATGATATCAAGTTTATCTTCTCATAGCCTTGTTAGGAGGATCAAATAAACACAGGCAATAGTCACAGCAAATGTTTCTTACTGTTATTTCACAGCCTCTTACTTCCTTTTTTTAAAAAATTACATTTCTTTCAGTTGTTTTGTGAAAAGAAGTAGCGTAAATCCAATCTGGCTAATCTTGAAATATTCAACCACACTCTAGCATTAGGTCGGTATACAGATAGATATTAGGTAACCAATCACTAATTTTTCATGAATTTATTTAGCAATATTTATAAATATATATTATCTTTAAGGTTTGTATCAGCTATCATTAGGAACACAAAAGGAAATAGCACATTTCCCTTTGATATTAGAAAAATCCTAGTTATAAGAATTTATTTAGTTAAGAGACAGAGTTGGGGTATTTGAGAAAATACCACTTACCAGCAGTAAAGATGTAGTACAGAAAGAATTTGCTTTATTAATATTTACAAAGTCTACTTGAATTATTAGGAGTCTTTTAGCCTTTTTTTTGGCAGCACGGGGGTTTGAACTCAGGGCTTCACACTTGCCAGGCACATGCACTTACCGTTCATGCCACACACCCCAGCCCTAAACAATGGTTTTCTACCAGTTCATCGCAATGTAGAATTCTGATGCAGGCATTGGCATCTTAGCATCGCTGTATGAAGAGGAGGTCTCTGCTTTTACCAGAAAGGGGGGGAAAATTGGAGAATAAAACCAGCAACCATCTATTTCTGTCTTTTCTTTCTCCTTCCTTCCTTTTTATTATTTTTTAATTCAGTGCTCAGAACCGAGCCCGGGGCCTTATGCATGCTCGTCTAGTGTCCCATCAATCACTCAGCACCTTACCACGGAGCTACATCCTCAGTCCTTGCTTTTTAAAGACAAGGCCTCCATATATGGCTGGCCTAGGCTGGCCTCAAACTTATGAATCATCTGCCTCTTCCTCCTTGTGCTGGAATTACAGGAGTACAGCACCACACTCAACACACCCTACCATTTCCTCACTGACCTCTAAGAGTTAGACAGCAATACTTGAGGATGATCAGATATTTACTTAAAAACCTGCTTTTTTTTTTTTCCAGTCAGTTTGTTGAAAATCTTACAACTTATTTACAGGAGGAAATGATGCGTCCTATCTGTTAAGTGTTAGGTAGCAGTTAGTCTTGAGCAACGGGGGTATGCAAGCAATAGAGGATTCTTCAAGGTGTCTGAGAGAAAAACACTTAAACGACCCTGTTAAGATTGGAATAGCCACTAAGGTCTTAGTGTCACAAGATGTTTTTGAGTCACCCACCCCAAGGTGCATCAACATCAGTTCCTGAAACCGTAGATCTTTTACTTAACAAAACAAAGGCCCAGGTCAATAAATCATACCCAGGGGGTCAGGTAGACCCAATAATAGTTGGTACATTATAACTTTGTAGGTGACCTGAGGAGGGACTCAGTGTTCCTAGTCACTTCTCCCACAACAAAAATTGATGCCCAGGTAAAAATAATTGCATTTTCATTCTCTCTTTGCAGACGACCCACTTGCAATCTATTGGAAGTATATTCCTTTTTAAAAATACTTTTCCCCTGGTACAAAGGTGACTTACACCTATAATCCTAGCTATTCAAGAGGCAGAGATCAGTTTGAAGCCAGCATGGGGAAACAGTTCATGAGATCCTATCTGGAAAAAACCATCAACAAAAAAGGGCTGGCAAAGTGGCTTACAGTGTAGGCCCTGAGTTCAAGCCCTAGTAAAAAAAAAACAATAATGTGTATTTTTTATTAGTTGTACAGGGGGGATTCATTGTGACAGTTCTGTACAATATGTATGTTGTACCTTGGTTAGGATTGCCGCTACCATCTCTCTCCCTCACCCCAAAAGTGTATTATTTTCCTAATAAACTTTACCATCACTTTCACCATATTTCCTGTTTGCCTAAAGAAACACACAATCCTAAGTAGACAGCAATGCTTTCTGGTAATGTTTTTGGTAACACTAAGCATACATAGTTCACTGGAAACAGGGATAGAATCTGTCCTAGCGTTCAATTAATAGTTAGTACCTAGCATATTGCCTGGTATATGTAGAATGTGGAAGTGTAGATAGATGATAGATAGATAGATGACAGATAAGAAGTGAGAGTTATTTCAGAATATTCTTTTTTTTTTGTGATACTGGGATTTGAACTCAAGGTCTACACCTTGAACCACTCCACTAGCCCTTTTTTTTGTGATGGATTTTTTCAAGATCAGGTCTCACGAACTTTGCCTGGGCTGGCTTTGAACCACAAACCTCCTATCTCTGCCTCCTGAGTACCTAGGTTTACAGGCATGAGCCACCAGTGCCCAGCTATTTCAGAATATTCTTGAGCAATCACTGTCATGCCTTATTTTTATTTTGATATATGAAAGTTTAGTT